AAGGCTCAGGGGTCCAAGATTATCTTCTGTGTCTGTATTTATTGGTTTCCCTTTTCTTTGTTGAAGAGGGTCTGTGCAATCCTTCTGCCTAATCCGTCATCTTGCCCCGCCTCTCTGAAAATTAGTTGTTTTATCCTTATGCTATCTTCCAGGAACTTTACAGTTTTAGCTTTAACATTTAGGTCTTTGATCTGTTTTGAGTTAGATTTTGTGCACAGTGTGAGGTATGAATTTTGTTTCATTTTTCTGCAGTGGATATCCAGTTTTGACAGCACCATTTCTTAATATCATCCTCTTTTCACAGATTATAATTGGAGGCTCAGAGGTTAACAGATTTGCCGTAGGTCAGGCAGCTTGTGTGGGTAGAACTGGACTTAAAACCCAGGTTATTGTGATTCCAGAGCCCAATTTTTAAATCATTACTCCTAATGAGTGAGTAAGTACAAGGCCTAGTGGAAACAGAAAGAGTTGGGGGGGTAGATAATTTTCATTTAATGTGATTTATGGAAATTAAACAGTGTATAAGGGCTCTTAGGCTTTACAGTCAAGCTCGTGTTTAAGTCCCTTACCACTTGGCAATTGTCTGAGCTCGGGTAAGTTGTTTTGACTCTGTCCACTGTATCTGTGTGTCATGTGCAGTGAGATGCTTGTGAAAGTAACCAGCACACCATAGGAGTTTTCCTTAGTATAAAACTAAAATATTTGAGATCCTTTATGGGTCAGTTTAAATTATCAATGCATAAACATAAAGACCATCTTTTGTTTTGTGATTACATTGATTTATTTTAGCTGTTAGTTGACACTATGATGTCATTTAGGTCAAATTGATCAAAAGGAAAAACTATGCTCATAGTTTTTAACTGTAATGAATAAAATCTGTCTGCATAGTCTTTAGGAAAGATATGTTGAAATTAATTACAAATGAAAAGCAATCAAAGTTGTGTCAGCTCTCCCTTCTTTTTGCTTGTTTTTCATTACAGAGATAAGCCAGAGAATTCAGACAGCTCATCCAGCTGGGCGGCAAGTGATGCTGCACTACCTGTTGCCGTGGATGAACAACATCGAGCTGGTGGATTTGAAACCTTTGCCCACAGTGCGGCGATATGACGAAGAGGAAGATGATTCACTGAAAGACCGAGAGCTTATGGTAACTAGCAGGCGCTGGTTACGAGGAGAAGGCTGGGGATCACCACAAGCCACTGCGATGGTTCTGAACAATCTCATGTACATGACAGCAAAGGTAAAATAAGTTGTGTATTTGCAGTTGCTACAGAAAATTGAGGAGCCCCAGTGGCACAGCAGTTAAGCACTTGGCTGCTAACCGAAAAGTTGGCAGTTTGAACCCAACCAGTGGGTCTCGGGGAAAAAGATGTGACGATCTGCTCCCATAAAAATTAGAGCCTAGCAATCCAAGTGGCAGTTCCGCTCTGTGACGTGGGGTCACTGTGAGTCAGAATCGACTCCACAGTACCCAGCAGCAATACAGTGGAATTAAGAACACAGCCAGCACTTGTCATCATGGTTCACATGGTTAGAAACAGATGGGGAGATCAGGTGATCCTGTGATAACCAAATGAAAATGCATCATTTATTGATTCCTTTCTGGGAAAAAACTTTTCACTAGATGTAAAATGTCTTTTGTTGTGTTGTTTAAACCATATGTGATTCATGATACTTAGGTTTTGATTTATTTAAAAAAAAAAAAAAAAGATTATTCTTAAGTATGTGAAAGATTAAAGTGGTCTGTAAAACTTTTAGCTTCTATTATTTCATAGTGTGACAGGTTTTTGTTGTTGTTTTTAAATTTAATTTCTTGTTGCTGAAAATGTATACAACAAAGTTTGCTCTTTAATAGACCATGATGACTAAGGTATCTGTTGTGTGCACTTCATCTAGTATGGAGATGAGTTGGCCTGGTCGGAGGTGGAGAATGTGTGGACTACGCTCGCAGATGGCTGGCCAAAAAACCTGAAAATAATTTTGCACTTTTTGATCAGCATTTGTGGAGTGAATAGTGAACCAAGCCTCTTGCCTTATGTATGTATTGTAATTCATTTAACTTATTTTTTTATTTTAATACATTGGCCAAATGTCTTATGATGTCAGAGTATGGGCAGCAGTAAGCCAGCAGAGGCAAGTCAAGGGCCAGGATAAGGTAGAGGAGGCAGGAAATAGGACATGGATTCATTCATCTATTCATTCAACAGACATCGTTTATCATTATTACAAGGCATGTGCTCTTCTAGGTGCTGGAGATTACAGTCTGATGGGTGATAGCAGATTTTATTCTTCGTACTGACATCTAATTTATTTAATGAATAAATCAGTAATTTAATAAAATACAGCAGTGATAAGAGCTACAAAGAAAAATTATGGAGTAATGAGAGTAAATAGCCTAACCTAGCTGTCTGGGAGAATTGGAGGTAGTACCCCACACAAAGTGATACTGAAGGTGAGACCATAGAATTGGGGATGTTTATAGTTTTGAGGAGGCAGGCACTGGCATTAGGATCTTAGAGCATGATGGAGCATGAGAGCTCAGTACCTATAGAATGATGCCTAAAGCTCCTTGAAGGAAGGGGAGTATGGTAAGAGTCATATAATGAAGAATGTGACAGTCTTTGCCTTCTTAGGAGGCAAAGACTTAAATCTGACTAACAGACCAGTACAAAACTATCAAGCATGAGAGTCAAACTGAATGTGTGTGTCTGTAATCTAAGAGTGTTGTTGTTGTTAAGTGCTGTCGAGTCGTTTCCGACTCATAGCGACCCCGTGCACAGCAGAACGAAACACTGCCC